CAGAGAGAAGAGGAGGGAGGGGGAAAACAAAACACACAACCCTTGAGCCACATCCAACACTCTCACAAGAGACCCACGTGCTGTGTCCCAACAGGAGTTGCCCAGCACCTGCCGTCCCTCCCAGCACCCCCTGCTTGCCCATGCATCCCTCCAGTACCCACCGCTCTCCCCACCTAGAGGAATTTTACATTTGAGCGCCGCCTGTCCTTGCTGCGGGAGCCAGAGGCTCTCTCAAGACCCATCCATTACCTTCAGGACGTCGCCCATGACTTCGCCCTTCTGGGTGCTGCAGTCCCCCAGCTTGGCCAGCTGATCCTCCAGCAGAGAAATCTTCCCCTGGAGAATCTCGATCTTCTCTTCCGAGCATTTCTGGGGATGAAGACATGACTAAAATATAGTTCCTCTGAAAAAGGACAGTCAGAAACCTTGTTCCACAGCAGCTCCTGCAGGACTGGGTTAATTTCCAGCCTCTTTTAACAGTGGTTTTCATCCCATGGCTCACAAGTTTGTGGGACCGCGTGAATTGCTTGTAAAAGATTTGTGAATTTCCCCATCCCTGGGAGTGTTCCAGGCCAGGTTGTACAGGGCTTGGAGCAACCTGGGCTGGTGGCCCGGGTTGAAGGGGCTTTGCGGCAACCTGGCTTGGTGGGAGAGAGGTGTCCTCATCCACAGCAGCGGGGTGAGAACTAAGGTCCCTTCCAACCTTAACCAGTCTATGATTCTATGAGGAGCGAGTAAAACGTTGAGGTGAGGGAACCGAGCAAGAGGAGGTGCGGTCACCCAGCCCCTGGTCAAACTGGGGGGCACGCACCAGCCAGGAGGGACCCCCTCACCTTCTCCTGCAGGGCAGTGTGCAGCTCGCTCTCCAGCTGCCCCTGCTTTTCCTGCCACCGCACCAGGGACACGTTGTGCTCCTCTAAGAGCTCGTTCAGAGCTTCCTGCAGCTGCACCAAGTGGCTCGTGATCTCCCGCATCTGTGGAGGGAAAAAAAGAAAAAGAAATATCCCCCAGGAGAGGGTCAGGGAATTCCCAACGCTGCCCAGGGCTCTGCTGGCTCCCCTCTCAAGAGCGCTGATCATCCACGGACATCCCAGGTCCTGAGGGCTCAAGATCTACTCACCGCACTCAAGCAAATCCACCCAGCCCTTATTTCTCTCACCACGGTTTCCCCTGAGATCAGGATCTGGAGCCCAAAGCAGGTTTGGCCACACGAGGCCAACAGCAGAGCCGTGAGGAGCCCAGCACCCGACTCTGGCACCAAATCCTCCCTGCTGGGTCCCACCACAAACTACTGGGCTGCGGGGAACACGGAGAGGATGCGGCACCCCAGTACCTTGAAGGAAAGTTCCCCGTTTTCCTCAGAGAGCTGGCTGATTTTTCGGTCCATCTGGTTTTTTTCAGTCTTCAGGTCCTGGCACTGCTTGAGGGCTTCGTGCAAACGCACCGTCAGGCTGCGGGAGAGGAGGTTGTTAAAGCAGGAGGTGCAAGCCCAAGGCAGGTGAGGACATGGTCAGAGACTGAAACTGTTGGCTATTGCTGAGAAAAAGAAGCTACCAAGGTATTTCTGTGTGAAACTACCATAACTTCAGCTCTAAACTGGGTGCCAAGATGTCAAAAAGCGGAGTGCAGGTAAATGATGTTTGTGTTTTGCACAAAACACTCAGAACTGAAAGCGTAGGCAGCCGCGGGGCTCCAGCTACCCCTTGGCAACGAGAAATAAGTAAGGAAAGGACAAAAAAAAGACACAGCACCTGCCCAGAAAGACTGGGCATCCTTCCCAAGTAAACACATCGCTGCGCAGGGACAGGGCAAAGACCGAGATGCAGGCAACAGAATTCAAGCGCGCAACACAGCCCAGTTCAGATCCAATCAAACTGGATCAAACTGGAGGGTTGGAAGCCAGGGAAGGAGCTGGGAGCTCCAATATCACCCTGAAAGCTTTCGGTGACACAGAACCTGTCCCAGGCGGGTGAGACCCACGCGGGCAGCACATTCGTTCCCCACAACGGGGACAGCTGTTCCCACGGTGAGTATGGAATGAGAGAATACCAGGTTGGAAAGGGGCCTCAAAGATCATCTAGTCAAACCCTTTAAGGTAAAGAAATACGGTTTAAATGAGATGGCCCAGCACCCGTCAAGCTGAGCCTTAAAACTGTCCAATGTTGAGCAAGGAGTGGGCTGTCGGAACATGCTGCGTGGTTTGGGACCAGCTCCCTGCCTGCTGCGATAAAAATGGGTCACGGCCACACCACAGGACACGGCGTGCTGGCAGGCACAACCCTTTCCTGGGCTGCATCAAGAGAAGCGGGGCCAGCAGGGTAAGGGGGGCAGATTCTGTCCCTCTGCTCTGCTCAGACCCCACCTGCAGTTCTGTGCCCAGCTCTGGGGTCCTCAGCACAAGGAGGACATGGACCTGTTGGAGAGTGACCAGAAGAGGCCACAGAAATGATCAGGGGGCTGGAGCACCTCCCTGTGAGGACAGGCTGAGGGAGTTGGGGCTGTTTAGCCTGGAAATGAGAAGACTCCAGGGAGACCTTGTAGTTGTCTTCCAGTACTTAAAGGCAGCTTGTAAAAAGAGATGGGGGGGGACTCCTTATCAGGGCCTGTAGCCACAGGACAAGTTTTAAACTGAAACAGGAGAGATTCACACTGAATATAAGGAAAAGAGAATTTATGCTGAGGGTGGCGAAACCCTGGCCCAGGTTGACCAGAAAGGAGTTGGAGGCCCCAGCCCTGGAAACATTCAAGATTAGGTTGGATGAAGCTTTGAGCGACCTGATCTAGTGGAAGATGTCCCTGCTCATGGCACAGGGTTTAGACAAGATGGCCTTGAAAGGTCCCTTCCAAGCCAAACCATCCCGCGATGCTGCGACTGCTGAAGCAAACTCCTCCCTGATGCACAGCTGCAAGAGGAGGTGGTAGAGAGCAAGAGGAAGGTTTTCCTTCACCCCTTTTTCGTGCATTGCTGGGGAAGAGATAGACAACACAAAGCCAGGGGACCTGGGAGCGACCGGGACCAGTCTAGCAGGAGTGCTGGACTTGATGGTTTCAGGTCTTTTCCAGCCTCAATATTTCTGTGATTCTGTCACCAGAGGATTACCTCTCATTCTTCTCCCTCAGCTCCTGTATTTCCTTGGGCTCCACCTGGTCTGCCGCTTGCTTCTCGTTGAGCAGAGTCAAGCGATCAATCCGCTGCTGCATCATGGTGATCTGAGCCTCTGGGGAGAGCAGCAAGAAAGGCCCCCGTTACCATCTTTTCACGTCACCTGAATCCCTCCTGACAGCACAGCAGAGGATGCCTGTCCCTCTCCCAAGCTGGAGAGAAACCCTTTGCAGCAGGAAACGGAAGAGCCAGGCTGCCCACACAGCTGCTCAGCACAGGTGGTGCTTCAGCCGTGGATTTTCTTGCCCAGGATACAAAAAGGAACACGAGAGGGACCTTGCAGTCTCCATGTGCAGCTGGGGATACTCCTACGCCTGCCAACCTGCTCCAAATCATTTAGTAGAGGGACCAACAGCACCTCTGAGAAATGCTCCAGAGGAGCACGGTCATGGTGAGGTCAAAAAAAGAAAGTCACAGAAACCAGGTGAGGCCTCAGCCCTCCCCGCATCCCAGGACGCCCGCTAGCAACTCACCCTTCTCTGTGATGAGCTTGCGGTTCTCTGCCAGCTCCACCTCCAGCTCGTCCCGGTTCTCTCTCTCAGCAGCCAGTTGCTTCTTTAGTCGCCGCAGCTGGAACTGGGGGGTCTGCATGACGTCCCCCATGGGCGAGGACGGAGGGCCGGGGAACATGCTGCGGAGAGGCACACCGTAACTCGGTTATCCAGAGCAGACGGAGGGGCACCGTCCCTTCCCATTCCCCAGACCCAGTCTCGGAGGTCAGTTCAGAGCAAAAAATCTTTGATTCCTTGTCTCTCGAGCAGAACGATCAAGATGAGGTCTCTTCATCTCAATCACCCCAACGCCAGCCTCTGAGCTCCTGACATACACGTATAAAATCAGGCAAAGCCTCCACCTCCCTTCACACTGAAGCCAGAGCCTCGCCGCTGGAGAAAAACTCCTTCAGCACATCCAGCAAGTGACACAATCCAGGTCCTCCCAAACCCACTCCAGGGCAGGAGAGGACTGCAAACTGCGCCGGGACACGGCTGCGCTCATTAAAGCTGAAACAAGCTTATGACAGCCCGACCTCACTCCACCACCGGACATCCCCAAGGAGTTTGCAATAGAAAGAAGTTCTCTGCTGAGCTAGGGTGCAGCCCGGCTACATCCCTGGGTCCCAGCAGCCACCTTATTTGTTTTGCTTCCCCCCGGCTCCCCGCTGGCAGCTGAGAGGCTGGGAGACACATACTTGTTGGCGCTGGAGGAGGAGGCGATCTTCTGCAGCTCCAGGAAACGCACCTCTCGCCTGTGCGGGAAGGAGAGCAGCGGGGAGCGCTCCTCAGAGCTGCTGCTGCCAGATGAGGAGGGTGGCACTGGAAATCACGAGCGAGAAGCAGGCTGTGAGGTTCACATTAATATCAGAAGGGAAGGTTGAGCAGCTGGAAACCCCGGGAGACTGCAAATTTCAGCAAGGGCGGATCAGCCCAGGCAAGAAATCCGTAAACCTGCCTTATGTCCCTGGCCTGCCCAGCTCTGGGCATCCCACTCACCTCGCTCCTGCAGGGAAAGCCACGTATGCCACAATTAAAACCATTAAAACCCCACTGCCAAGAACCAAAATATCACCTTTTTTGATAGCTGCAGCCGCCGTAAGGTCAAAAACTTCCAGAGCTGGGGTGCAGGGACCCCTGCCTGGCCACAGTTTGTGCAGGTGTGTGTTAGTTTTGGCTGGATCGAGTTAATTTTCTCTGTATTAAGTTACTATGAGGCTATGGTTAAGATTTGTTTGGGGAGTTTTCTAACTTTACACAGCGCAGGGATACTAGACAAGTTACAACTAATAATGCAACTCAGGCTGCTGAGCAGGAAGAGCCCAGCAGGTGTAAGGCAGCCCCGTTCTTAAAGAACTTACAAGGAACCACTTCACAGGGCTCAGTCTTGGGGAGAGGGGATCTGGACGGCGTTGCTGCTTGGCAGCTATAGCAGCATGAACAAAGAGGGGGGAAAAAAAGGATGTTTTTATGCTCTGGAAAAGGGTCATCCATGCCATTTAGGCGCTGCTGGGATGGGAGCTGTACAGGAAGATGCCAGCAGTGCTCCGCACTCGCAACATCCCACCCTGCTGCTGTCTCTGCAAGGTCACGGACTGTTTCTGTCTCACTCCGAGCTGGCACTCGGACGTCACTACGGCAAAAACCTGTCGGCCTTACCAGCCAGGAGAAAAACGTGTGCAATGCCTGCTCTGCCAGCACAAGGCTTGGCCCGTTCCTCTGGGCTGGTGCCAGAGCGCAGGCAGCCAGCACCCGGCGCTCACCTCTCCTCTGCAGAAACGTCCCCAGGTTCTCATTCAGGCTCTCCTCGTTGTCCAGCACGAATTTGAGGATCGATGCCAACTCAACCTGCGTCAGAGGAGCCGCAGGGTCAGCAACTCTGCCTGCCTGTGCCTGCACCGGCAGGTGCCCACACTCACAAGCACGAGCTTTTGATTGCCTGGAGCATCGCAGCACCTGCCCCACGCCCTCTTTTGAGGGGACCTGAACATGAGGGTGGGTCACAAAAAAGCACCTCTGCTTCCCCTCACACCCCTGGTCTGGAGGGAAAAACTCGGAAGGGATTACCTGGGTCTCGTAGCTCAACTCATTCCAGTCCCCGGGGTTCTTGCAGCTCATGGAGGTGTGATACAGGAGCAGCACGGCCACCTGAAACGAGGCAGGTCAGCATCGCCAAGCCTGAGGTCAGTCATCGACACGTCAGGAACAAAGTGTCCCCCACGGTTACCTTGGCCAACGCCAGCTCCTCTCCCTCCAGGAGTTTCTGCGCCGAGACCAGGTTCTCCGTGGCCGATTTGTGCTTGCAGTGCTCTGCAAACATGAAGTGGGGGATTCCCAGTTGTGTGTCACTGGGGCCATCCATCCATCCATCCATCCATCCACCCACTCATCCCCCGAGGGGACACACTTGGGCTGAACGGCACCTTCTCCCCCAGGAAGAAGGGGCACAGGCAGGGAGGCACAGGGCAAGCCGGGCTCCGGAGCCAAGCCCACAGTGCTCGGCCTCTGTCATTAGCTCTGCCAGACCTTTTTTCCCCCTCCCTGGAAACTTCCCTCAAGGTTCCAGCCATCCCACATCACCCTCTCTATGCCTTTTGCTCCACCACCACCAGCACAAACCCAGCCCCATCTGCAGAGGATGAACTACAGTGTCTGCCCTTCCAGGGCTGAGCAAAAAGGCACAAGGGACTTCCTATTATTTCCCCTCCCAAGATTCCCATTCAGGTAAAGATTTTCCAGGAGGATTTGAGCAGCTCGAGGCCAGGTTTTGCCGCCCGATGAGCGGAGTCACGGCAGCAGCCACCAGCACCCTTCACACCCCAGATTTTCCTTTGCACCAAGCTGGGGCTCTGGCAAGGATTTCCACCTCACAAAGCTGCTGATGCAGCAGCAGGGAGGTCACTAGGGAGAGGGGGAAGCCTACAGGCATGAAACCAGACTCGGGGGGGCACCGAGCAGGGGCAACCAGCGGAGGATCTTACTCTGCAGGAAGCCACGGATGAAGGAGATCCTCTCCGGCAGCGGCTGCTCCAGCACAGACTCCCCCTCCTCGCTCCTGTGGCTAGAAAAGCACATGGGTTGCGTTAACCGAGGGATTACACAAACAGTGGGTTTGTTGTGGTTTGGGTGTTTTTTTTCTTTTCACAACAGAGCTTGTCGAGCTGGCTCTGGGACAATACAGAGCTCGGGC